TGTGCGGGTTTGGTAGATTTGGATAAACTACTAACTAATATGGGATTTTAATAGCATCTGAGGGATTTGATGGCTCTGTGGAATGTTCTCATTCGTAGACAGTTCTTAATATCATTGGCTGTACCAACATTTTCCAGTTTTGTTGGTATGTTACCTACGTATAGTTTGAATTATACAGAAGATAAACAGTGGTAAATTATTGTGTCAAGGTGGAAGAAATTGGGAGTCATTATTGATACAGAGCACTTATAATGGTTTCTTAGTGAGCCGGATTCTCCTAAACCTGTGATGTTAATATGGTAGCTTCCATACATTTCCCCCTTACTGTGATTTAAACACAAAAGAGCCTATGCAACAGTTCAGATACTGTGTTCTTGTGAGACAAAACAAATGTGTCATTAAAGAGAAAGAAGAAGAAAAAGGAATAAGGCTTAGGCCTAGGTCTTTAACAATTAAAAATTTTACTTGATTCTTATCTATGGACTTTTGACATGTCACTATGTGGAGTCTTAAAGTTATAAATGTTTAGTATGTTTTTTGAACAATATGCTAAATCAATAGCAGACCCACTGCCATATTAGTTATTCAGGATATACTAAAAAACACTAAGCTAGATTGCAGTTTAATAATTAAACTGTATATACTGTGCATATAATGAATTTTTATCTTATGTAAATTATTTTTAGAACACAAGTTGGGAAATGTGGCTTCTGTTCATTTTGTTTAATTAAAGCTACCTCCTAAACTATAGTGGCTGCCAGTAGCAGAATGTTAAATTGTGGTTTATATACTTTTTTTGCATTGTAAATAGTCTTGGTTGTACATTGTCAGTGTAATAAAAACAGAATCTTTGTATATCAAAATCATGTAGTTTGTATAAAATGCGGGAGGGATTTATTTACAGTGTGTTGTAATTTTGTAAGGCCAACTATTCACAAGTTTTTAAAGTTGCTATCGTGTTTGTATATTTACACATCTGATAAATATTAAATCATAACTTGGTAAAAAAAACGTAGCTAAAAGTTTTTTTTTCTCCAAATTTCAAGTCACTGAAAACTTTGCGTTTATTTAAAATATAGAATAGCAGATATCTAAAATATGTGGTAAATTGTGCGATATGTCTAGTGGGAAGTACACTATTGTATGCAGTGTTTTGAATTCTTAAAGTTCTAGAAATCTAGCAATCTATTTTGCCTTAATTTGTAACTAGGTACATTAATAAATTTGCTTAATGTTAAAGTAAGCAAATTAAACTATTTTTTAAGTGAAGAGTATTAGAATAAACGTTCGAATAACACTTTGCTGGTATTTAGAAGTAAGATTTTATTCTATCTTAAGTCTGAACCATACTCATGGAAAACAAATTGTGAAATTTAAGAGAATACCATGAATTAGATCTTTGTTTAAAAGCAAATGATTGGTGGGGGCGCCTGGCTGGCTCAGTAGGTGGTGCGTGTGACTCTTGATCTCAGGGTGGTGAGTTTGAGCCCTACATTGGGTATAGAGATTACTTAGGAATAAAATCTTTAAAAAAGAAAAGGCAAATGATTGGGGCTCCTGGCTGGCTTAGTAGGTGGAGCATGTGACTCTTAATCTCAGGGTTGTAAGTTCGAGTCCCACGTTTAATGTAAAGATTGCTTAAATAAATAAAAGCAAATGATTTAAAATCCTGCATGATACCAAATGTCGTCAAATTGCCCAGATGATTAAATATAAATATTCACAGTCATGAAGCCCTCATTTTACAGATGAGAAAATAGAGGGCTTGATGAAATTTAAGTGAATACCTGAGTCACACATAATAAATTAGAAACCAAACAAGCACCCAGTTCCTCTTAATCTGAGACATAGTTTTTTGGGTTTTGTTCATTTGTTTTAAACTTAAGTGTATGTCTGGAATTCCCATAACAAAAAGTAGAATAGTATAATTACTCCTCCCATCCCTTCAGCCTTCAGCCCAGGTACCTACATCACCCAAATGTGGCAATTATCAACAGCACATGGTAAATCTCCTTTTATCTCCACCCCATTCACCCATTCACTAACTCCCTCTATCTGCCCCTTGGATTAGTGTTATTTATTTAAGACTTATTTATTTATTTCAAAGAGAGTTTTAAGCAGACTCCGTGCTAAGGATAAAGCACAAAGCAGGCCCAATCCCACGACTTTGACACCATCATCTGAGCCAAAACTAAGAGCTGACACAGGACCAATTGCGCCACCCAGGGACACCTGCCCCTTGGATTATTTTGAAGTGAATCTCAGACGTTTCATCTGTAAATATTCCAATATGTCCAGGGGTAAATTTTTTAAAGTTGCCTAATATATTGCTACAAGGCTAACTGGTAATGATGTTATTTTGGTAACAAAGTCAGGGATTTTTAAACAAAAGTTAATCTTACAACAAGGTTACAATGCCAGCAAAAAATAAAATTTATCTCAAATGTATACCATGAAAGTGAAAATAAATTAGTAAGAAGTTACTAAGTTAATACCCAAAAACTTAAGGGGAGAGACCTTCTTTTGAGCTTATTTATACCTTTATATATATTTCTACTGAACTTGAGGGGTGCCTGAGTGGCTCAGTCGTTAAGCGTCTGCCTTCAGCCCAGGTCATGATCTCAGGGTCCTGGGATCTAGCCCCATGGTCTGGCTCCCTGCTCAGTGGGGAGTCTGCTTCTCCCTCTCTTTCTTCCCCTCCCCACCCCTGCTCCTACTATCTCTCTCTCTCAAAAAAAAAATCTTAAAAAAATTCTACCAAACTTGATTATGGCTTCTCAGTCTCAGCAGTGACAAGACACTAAGAAAGGAGACCACGGGACTCAATTATGTTCACGTAGCAGCACGTGTGTCATGCATCTCTTCATTATTGCCAGTGTTGCTACAGCATAATGCAGTAGTTGGTCATTATTATCAGGATTCTGAGGCATCAAGGAAAGGACATAATTTGTTTCATTAAACATTTTGAGGAGGCAGAGAAGTGTATGACATTTTAGCTTCCTATACCAAAAGGTTGAAGTAGGAAAGCTTGGGAGTTTAAATGACAAAATTTATCATTTACTGTTTTCTTTGTCAGGTCCTGTGCCAGAAACTTTATTACTAATGAGATAATATGACTGGGAGGTAGGTTATTTCCCTATGTTACAAAGGAGTAAGTTAGGATTTACAAAAGCCAAACAGCTTGTTTAAGGAAACCAAGTGAGGAAGAAAAAAAATTACTGATTCAAATCCAGGTTCCTTTTTTACTAAGACTTGTGCTTTTTCCTACTTTGCTTCAGGTATGTCAGATGATGTCTGTTGGGAATAGCTCAAGTTTACCTCCTATGAAGCCCTAAAGTGGCCCTAGGCCTTTTGATGCTGTTACTGATTCTAGGGAGGTTATCGTAAGTGGTTTCAACCAGATACGCCAAAATTGAATAATTGGGGTAGAGAATATAAACCACTAAGCCAGTTTTATTTCTTGATTAATTTTATTACTCTGGTCCAATTTTCTTCCATTTTCATTTTGTTTTTACTGAAAATTTTAACAAAATTAACAAAAACTAGCATTGCCTTAAAACAGTTTTAACCATGTCATATTTTATTAATTATAGCTACTGCCTTCTGAATTGCCCTTTGTTGCTATTATTTCTACCATATCTAATTCTCCTGTGTCAACTTTTGCAGATCTAAATTTCACCAAGGATTTTTCTATCACTCTGGTGAATAACAAATTTTGTGTGCTATTTTGGCCTTTGTCAGTTTTCACTCTGATATTTCTACTAGTAATATGCATTATGAGGGGGACAAAGCCCTATTTATTTACAACTGTACACAGTCTTGTCAGCAGGAATAAAAACATCCAGCTTTACTGTCTATCACCTTTTCCTTGCTACCTTCATCCCTATTCCCAATCCCTGAAAGGTCAGTGCTCTTTCCGAGGTCCCACAAAAAATTTTTGTTACGAATAAAATGCATATCACAGAATATTTTAACGGTATTATGCTACACCACAAAAGAATGAGGAACGTGTGGCGGTAGGGCTTTTACTCCTGTAACTGTAGTGCTTAGCACAGGCCCTAGTAAACTAGATGCTCAAAAAGACCTCAAAATGTACACGCATAGACAAACCAGTTACCTTAAGATGCCAGGCAAGGGCACCTGGGTGGCTCAGTCGTTAAGCGACTGCCTTCGGCTCAGGTCGTGATCCCGGGGTCCTGGGATCGAGCCCCGCATCGGGCTCCCTGCTCTGCGGGGAGCCTGCTTCTCCCTCTCCCACTCCCCCTGCTTGTGTTCCCTCTCTGTCAGATAGATAAACAAAATCTTTTCAAAAAAAATAAAAAAAAGCAGGGGCACCTGGGTGGCTCAGTCGTTAAGCGTCTGCCTTCGGCTCAGGTCGTGATCCCAGGGTCCTGGGATCCGGCCCCGCATCAGGCTCCCTGCTCCGCAGGAGGCCTGCTTCTCCCTCTCCCACTCCCCCTGCTTGTGTTCCTGCTCTCGCTATCTCTCTGTCAAACAAATAAATAAAATCTTTAAAAAAAAAGATGCCAGGCAAACAAGGTGCTACCAAACAACGGAAGCTTGTCCTAAAAGTGCATTCTTGGATACACTTGGAAACTTGGACAAAGTTCGCGCTCCTCTCCCCAATAAAATATGGCTGTGTGCTGAGAGAACTCAACTGAGCCTTAGAACCCTGCCCCGTAAGGATACGGGGGTATTTCTGGCTTCCGCCTCTTGCTCAGTGACAGCGCATTTCCAGCACGAGACCTGCTGCGCCACAGCAGACAAGGGACACGTGCCCTCCGGGCTGTCAGCCGCGAGCGGCAGCTCGCCGGCGAGCGCAGATGCGGAGTTTAGCTCCCGCGCAGCAGCGGCCGGCCGGGCTGGGAGGGGGGGGGGGCCGGCCGAGAGAGGCCCGGGCGCAGCGAGCCGCGGCAGGCCCGGACAAAGCCCTCGCGGCCTCCACGCGTCGCCATGGCAGCGCGGGGTCTGTGCCCGACCGGATAGGCCGGCCCGGCGCGCGCGGGGCCTGCTGGGAGCGCACGTCCCCGCCGCCGCTCCGCCGGTTTGAACTTGGCGGGCCCGATGTGGGCGGCCGGGCTGTGGGGGGCCGGTTCGCCACCCTCCGACGCCGGGTCCTCCGCCGGCTGCAGGTCCAGGTCTCGGCCCTCCTCTGGCTCCTTCTCCGTCCTCATGGCGGGCGCCCCGGGGCAGGGGCTGGAGCCGGTGACGGTGTGCTCGCCGCCGCCGAGCTGCAGCAATTCCACCATGTCGCTGTTGTCTCCCCTCGGCCACCAGAGCTTCCCGTTTGACTACGACGATGGTGACGGGGAGGGTGAGGAAGACGTGGATGAAGGTGCTCATGATTCGCAGGCTAAGGTGGCGAGCCTGAGAGGAGTGGAGTTACAGGGGTGCGCCAGGTAAACCCGAGGCCGCCGGCCGACTCAGCCCCCCGCGAGGGTCCTCAGACCCTTCTAAGTACGTTCTTCTGGTGGCCCAACCCCGTCCTGGCCTCGCCTCAGAGGCTCTGCAGGCACCTCCCTCCCGAGGTGCTGCTCCTTTTTGCACATAAAGAGCTGTGGGCCAGTGCTCACGCAGTTCTTCAGATTTTCTAAGATTCTTAATCTTTTTTCCCTGAGAATATGATTGCCACAGTCTCACTCCCCAGAAAAACGTACGTAGTCTCAAAAACACAAAATTTTGCTTCCATTTCCGGAGTTTTGTGAATATTCAGAAGTCAGATTGTGGACACCAGAACTCTTGTTCAGACCCTTAACACCAAAATTGTTTAGTGCACCTTAGTAGTAGTACCTGTAGTTGTTTTGAAAAAACCTGATTGCTGGTGAAGTAGGTTGTAGTAAGCAGTATGTATACATTTTGGGTCATAAATGAGGAGCTGAAGCCCAGCTTAGCCATGTCAACCTCAGCATCCACAGACAAGGTGGAATCTGGTCTGCGTCCTCAATTAACAGTAGAATAGAAATCATTGAATCAGACAATGTTAGAACCAAAGATATTATTAAAATCATCTGAATTTTTTTACTTCTGCAGTTACTCAGCAAACATCTAGTTTGTGCCATATACTAGTTTAGATACTGGGGACCACAAACAAGATAGACACGGCCTGTACTCATGAAATTAAAGCCAAAATTAAGCTACTCATTTTACAGGTAACAACACTGGCTCAGGATACAAATAAAAAGTCTGATTCGGAGGCATATACCTAGTTATTAGCAGAGCTGGCCTTAGTATCGAGGTATACAGATCATGTTCTCTCTTCCCTGTGCTACATGGCTGTTACTGGGTGTATAAGAACAAAGGGCCTATCCCTGCAGGAATAACTTTCTGAGACAGACTTAGTAATGTAGGCCCCATCTGGAATAGACTCCTATGTCATCTTCAGGAAGATTTACAAGTTTCTGATTGTCGGGCCGTGTACAGCACAGTACAGGAGATCTCAGAAACACAAACCAGAGAACCTGTGCTTTATGTATAAGCAGCAGCATAGCCCCCTTTAGTGTAAAGCATTCACACCCAGAGTGAATGAATGGAATATGGAACCATATGAAATGACTCATACACAGTTACGGCAGTGAGTCTCTTAAGAATGAAAAGTAAAAGTAAGTACATTGATGGGAATGGAGATCGGCAAGAGTAACCAAGCAAGCCACTTGTCCATACTGGTTGTAGCAACTGCAGGCCTCTGATGAACCTGATAGTAGAACTTGATGATAGAGTTTCAGGAGTCCATTTTCAAGTGGGTCTTTGTAAGCATTCTTCAGGATTGAGTCGGGCCCAAAGATTTTTATTTTTTTTATTTTTATTTATTTATTTATTTATTTATTTATTTATTTATTTTTTAAAAGATTTTATTTATTTATTTGAGAGAGAGAGAATGAGAGACAGAGAGCATGAGAGGGAGGAGGGTCAGAGGGAGAAGCAGACTCCCCGCTGAGCAGGGAGCCCGATGCAGGACTCGATCCCGGGACTCCAGGATCATGACCTGAGCCGAAGGCAGTCGCTCAACCAACTGAGCCACCCAGGCGCCCCAGTCCCAAAGATTTTTAAAATAATTTTAAGGCTTTGGAAAATGCCTTTGAGTCTAATCAACAGGACTGAGCAATGTAGATACAGTTTAGCAACCTACAGAATGATGGTTGTCAAAACCACAGCTCAGCTACTGCGACCTTGCATTAGCTTCCAAGAGCCAAAGCGCTAACCAAATAGAGCTCAGGAGAAGAGCCAGACATGTTTTTTGTCTCACTTTAGCCAAAGCCCAAATGAGCTGGTAGCATCCCAGGGTTAAGGCTGCCTTCCTTATCATGACCTTATCACAGGTCATTCCCTATAAATCAAAGGGATAGGATGTGGCCTGGAAAGAATGTAGGAGTTGACAGGCCTTCTGTGTGGCAAGTGTCAGATACATATTAGGTGTTCAGTAAATGTGTGCTGAATGAATGTTTAATTCCCACTCCTAGAGAACAGATAGATACAGCGGTTATCTTCAAATGCTTCAGAAAACTTAGCATTTCCTTTCAGGAGAGATAAATGTTTACAGAATTTCATCAGTCACCCTCCATACCTCTAACCTTTAGTTGGTGTCCTGGACAGTTTGGGGGTGATGAGGGGAGGAGAGCAGGTAGTCTGACCTGTATATAGTCCCAGTCCCAGGCAGTGAGCATTCTCTCCATGGACCAGGGAGTAAACCCATAGCTGTGTGGGATTTTATGCCTTTGTCCATTGTTCATCAGACATAGAGATAGACTCAGGTATCAGGTGTGCATGGTGATATGAGCTCCAGTTATTTTAGGTGTACATAGAGCCATGCTTAGAGGATGCATGGGCCTTCAAATGTGTTGGACAGGACTGAGATGAAGCTCATAGTTTACTTCAGACAAGATGATGCCAAGTATTTTCCTGGAGTCTTATGATATGCCTTGAGCCTTCTGTTTATCCAGCTCTATCCTGCTTTTTATATCACTCTATCCATTAGGAAAACCATGCCTTAATACATATCTTAGTCATAAAAAGCTGCTTATCGAGCCTCTCGATTATGGGTAACGCTGTAGTGTATATGCTATACATTTTGTAATGTATACGCTATCATTTGTTAAAAATGTTAAGGCAAGGAATTTAATATTTAAAATGTCATTTTTTAAAAAGATTTTATTTATTAGAGCATGAGCGGGGGGTGGGGCAGAGGGAGGGAGAAATAGACTCCCCGCTGAGCAGGGATCCTGATGCAGGGCTTGATCCCAGGACCCCGAGATAATGACCTGAGCCGAAGGCAGACACTTAACCGACTGAGCCACCCAGGTGCCCCTAAAATGTCATTTAAAAAAATAAAATAAAATAAAAAAATACCGTGCTCTTCCAACAAACTTTTCTTCTTTCTTTCTTTCCTTCCTTTTTCTTTCTTTCTTTTCTTTATTTTTTCTTTCTTTCTTTTCTTTCTTTCTTCTTTCTTTCTTTCTTTCTTTCTTTCTTTCTTTCTTTCTTTCTTTCTTTCTTTCTTTCTTTCTTTCTTTCAGATTTTACTTATTTATTTGACAGAGAGAGAGAGTGAGCACACAAGCAGGGGGAGCAGCAGAGGGAGAGAAGCAGGCTCTCCGCTGAGCAGGGAGCCTGATGCAGGACCCTGGGATCATGACCCGAGCTGAAGGCAGACGCTTAACCGACTGAGCCACCCAGGCGGCCCTCAACAAACATTTCTTAGGAGGTTACTATATTCTAGGCCCCACACTAGACTCTTGAAATAAAAAATGAGTTAACACATGCTTTCTGTTTGTAAGGAATTCATAGCCTATGGCAGAGATGGACAAGTGACAGAAAGCCCAAGGTACTTAGTCCAGATTTTTTGCAGAGTTTTACTGTGAGGCAATAAAGATTAATGCCTGAGCTGACTCTTAAAGGGAGAATAGGAATTAGCCATACTCCTCCTACTAAATGACGTGTGTCAAATGCTTACTGAGTGCACAGAATCTGTGCGCTTTAGCATAGATTGTCTTGTTCAGTAGTGCCTGTGAGGTAGCCTCTGCCGCTATTTCTATTTTACAGGTAAGAATGGAGGCTTGAATAGGTTAAGAAATGTACTTAGCCAGGAGGAAGCAGGTAGAGATTCACCCCAAATGTTTTATTCCCAAATCTAAGCTCTTGCATGGCTACCTGTGGAGATGGAGACATTTCAGTTTTAGACAAAACTGCAGAGCACAAGGGCGTGGCACATTCATCAGTCTGCTTAAGTTCAACAAAACTGAAATAGTCCAGATCAGCCATTGGCATAAGAAGAGAGGCAGTAGCTGGGAAGACAGGCAGCAGCTAATTCATGGGTGTCAGGCTGGCGAGTTTGGATTTTATCTTTTGGGCAAAGGAGCCACAGAAGAACTTTGAGGTAGGGAGTGACATGATGGAAGGATGCATTTGAAGGGTAAATGTGGCAACAGTTGTGGAAAATGGTTTGAAACAGGGAGAAAGGCCAGTTATGTCCAGACAGTGGTTGTAAGGTTGGAGAAGAGGAGAATGGCTTGAGAAAATGGAAAAGAAGTAGAAAAGACATGACTAGGTAATTATGTGGGTGTGGGTGGTCGGGGGAGGAAATCTAGACAGAGGGCACTGGAGGAGTCACAGGTCTGGGTTGCTGGCATGACTAGTTGGGTGGGTATTGGTACTCTTCACTGGCATAGGATTATAAAGGAGGAATAAAATTTTTCTTGGTGGAGAGGGTAGTGGATAGAGGGTAGAAGATGATTAGACTTGGTTGTCACTGATTGATAGTTAAGTGGAGCTGTCTATCAGATGGTTGGAAAGAAGTCTGGAGCTCAGGGGAAAGATCTAGCCTGGAATGACTGATCATCAGCACCTAGTGATAGTTCAGACTGTGGGAGCAGATAAAGTCTGGAGAAGAAAAGATACGTATGAGAAATAAACAACACATCAGCAGTGTCTCTTTCCCACCAGAATGCAGATTGCAGGAGGGCGTGGATGAATGAAGAAAGCAGCAGAAAAAAATGAGTAAGCTGAAGCTATGAGGTAGAAAAGGTTGTGCAGAGTGGTGGGAGAGGCATTTGGTGGCCTGAAGCAGGAATGTTAAAGAGACAGAGGAGCTGAGTCTATAAACAACTAGTCTTTATTTATTTATTTTTTTAGAAATATGTTGAAATTTATTTCTGGAAATCTTTTACTCTTTATTTTATATTGAGAATTATAAAAATTTCTGTCCATTTACGAAAGTAGTGCATATGTGTGCGTTGCAGAAAATTTGGAAAATAAGAAAGTTTAAAATACAGAATTACTTATATTCTGCCACCCAGATACCACCCAAAGATAAACAGTTAACACCTAGTCTTTAGAGCTGCCTTGGGTCCTGAACAACCTTTCTTTCCTTGGGTCCTAATGGTTCTGCTTTTGCTCAGTTATCTGAGGCTTGTGTATCTGGCTGAGGCCCAGTATTTCCCCACCCTGCTTCTCTTGAGCTTGAGTAGTTACTTTTCCATGTACCTAGACGAGTCAGACTGACAGAGGTGCATATGGGAGATGCGGTAACCAAAATGGAGAATCGTAGACACCCTGTCTGAAGAATTGATGAAAGGGAGTAGAACTAAAACATTAAAGAACACAAGAGCCATATATATTTTTTGTAACTATTTCAAGACAATTTCAAACTTACAGAAGTTGAGAATTTCTGGGGCACCTGGCTGGCGCAGTCAGTAGAGCATGGAATTCTTAATCTCGGGGTTGTAAATTCAAGCCCCATGTTGGATGTAGAGATTACTTAAAAATAAAATCTTGGGGCACCTGGGTGGCTCAGTCGTTAAGCGTCTGCCTTCGGCTCAGGTCATGATCCCAGGGTCCTGGGATCGAGCCCCGCATCGGGCTCCCTGCTCTGCGGGAAGCCTGCTTCTCCCTCTCCCACTCCCCCTGCTTGTGTTCCCTCTCTCGCTGTGTCTCTCTCTGTCAAATAAATAAATAAAATCTTAAAAAAAAAAATCTTAAGAAAAAAAAGAATTTCTGTTCGCCTTTCACCTAGAATCCTTAATTGTTAACACATTTCTTTATCATTCTCTCTGCATATATATACATGTTCTTTTTTTCCCCTGAACTATTTAAGGGATGAAAAGGGAAAAGTCTGCTCCAGGATATGATTAGGATCATGTCTTGTAATTAGTTGTCCAGACAAGAGATTTTTAAGAAAAAATTGTCATTGAGGCAAATAGACTGGGTGTGAGTTATCCCAATGGGTTTTTAAATAGTGTGATTTTAGGAGATGAAGGAATTCCAAGGCAGTTTGATAGATAAACTAATTCAAATATTGGACTTTCTGTTCATGATTTTTCAAGTGTATATTTATATATAATTAATTCATATATATGCATTTATAAAAATCACAGTATTATAAATATATTATTAAATTCTGCTTTTGCTGTATAGTTAAGTGATTTTGAATGTGAAGCCAAAGAGTTTTGAGTACAAGTGCTATGTGTTCCCTCTTTGGAATAGTGTGGCTGAATCAGAAGATAACCAAGAAGAACAGAAACAGGTGCACCTACCAGAAAGCCGCCTGACACCATGGGAAGTGTGGTTTGTTGGCAAAGAAAAAGTAGAACGTGACCGTTTGCAACAGAAAGCTCTGGAGGTAAAACTAGACAGTATCCTTTTTGCTTAATCTATGAGTTAACAAATTAGAGCTGCTGTCAAAATTAAAATGTTTATGTTGATATCCCTCAAAACAAAATTTTTCCACTTGTTTGTATCAGTTTGCTATATCCATTTTAATAACTCTTATTGTAAAAATAATACATGTTCACTGTAAGAACATTTGGAAAATACAGCTAAGCATAATTAAGAACATTAAAATTTCTAATTTCACCACCTGAAGGTAACCATGGTTAATATTATTGCATATAGACTTCCAGATTTTCTTGAGAGTATATTTAAAAAAAAAATCTAGAAATGTTTAAATAAAGACACATACAATGGAGCTTCACTGTATATACATTTAACTAAAGTAAATGGAACTGTATTTACTTGGTAAAATTTTTAAGAAAGAGAAACCAAAATTGAAATAGAGACCAGAATCTACCCCCATATTACTCAGAGCACGTGCCCTAGAGTGAGTGCATGTGGGGAGATGGCAATTTGCTGGGCTTTCAGGGTTTTTCAGTTCTCTGTGCTGCCCTGCCTTGCTTATGGACATCTCTGTGTTTGTGATTGTCTCTAAACTCTCACTCTCCAAACTCAAAAAGTAGTGTGAGATACATTTTCACATGAATCCTTCATTTTTTTAACTCTTACTATTTGCTGTTGAGAAACTAGCAACTAAAGAGATTTGGATGATTTGGCATCCCCTAGTATCCAGACTCACTATCTGAACTCTCCCTATCTGATCAAAGAAACCAAGTAGATTTGAATGGGGAGGGGTATGTCTTGTTTCTAAAGAAACAGGATCAAACTCTTTTGTAACCTTTTTTCTGCCTGTTATACTGTTAATATGGTTCTATATCATTATAAATATTTTTACAACATCATTTCTAAATGGCTGGCTAAGATTATTAAAATATATTTTAAATGTATTAGACATAGGGTGCCTGGGTGGCTTGGTCGGTTAAGTGTCCTACTCTTGATTTTGCCTCAGGTCAGAATCTCAGGGTTGTGAGATCAAGTCCCATGTCATGCTGTGTGCTGGGAGTGGAGTCTGCTTGAGACTCTCTCTCCCTCTCTGTCTGCCCCTCGCCCCATGTGCACATGTGCATGCGTGCTCTGTCTCTCAAATAAATAAAATCTTTAAAATAAGTATTAGATATATATTAGAATATAGTTAATTGGTTCACTGTTGTCATATATTTAAGTTTAATCTATTAGTAACTATGTTGTCATAAAAATCCTTGGATCTAAAGCATTGCCCTCCATGATCTTCCTTGGAATAGATTTCCCGTATCAGTTTTGAAACTAATTATTTCTTTTTTTTTTTTTTTTTTTTTTTTTTTTAAGATTTATTTATTTATTTGAGAGAGCGAGTACATGAGAGGGGGGAGGGTCAGAGGGAGAAGCAGGTTCCTCGCTGAGCAGGGAGCCCGATGCGGGACTCGATCCCGGGACTCCAGGATCATGACCTGAGCCGAAGGCAGTTGCTTAACTAACTGAGCCACCCAGGCGCCCCTGAAACTAATTATTTCTGCGATGGATTTTGAACCAGATACGCAGTCACATATTCAGGAAGCTTGGCATGATTCAAATGACTGTAGAAACCAGTGCATTCTATTTCCCTATTGCATGATATTTGTATTCTAAAAAATAAATTTATTCCTGGAAAAGTACACAGTACTACTTGTTTCCTCTTACAAGGGCAGAGGGCTTGAGAAAGACCTTAAGATTTGATGCCAGGCGGGCTTGTTTAAACTTTTTTGCTTCAATTTCCTGTCTGTACAATAAGAATAAAAATAATAACTATGTCACACGACTTTTGTGAGGTTTAAATGAGACAAAATGTGGTGACTGGTAGTGTTTTATTAGTGTTATTACTGATAACATTGCTATTCATAGCCTTCTTAAAGGTTTTTCATTTATTTTCAGAATGAGTGTTTATTATTGAGACCCCAGACTCTTATCTCAGCCTCAAGTTTTAACATTACTAATTCCATTATTTAGTGCAGTGGCTTTCAAAATATTTTGTTCATGGTGAGAAATCTGCTTTGCTTCATGTCACACACAAATCCATACATGTACGTATCTGAAATGATCTCTTAATTTTGTGCAAAACCTGGTATGCTATTCCCTTTTTCTTTTTGTTTTTTTTGTTTTGTTTTGTTTTTAAAGTCCACTCATAACCCACTAAATTGGTTTTGGGCTCACAGTTTGGAAAACACTGATCTAGCGAGCCATTGGTAAAGTGGAGTTCAGTTTATGGTATTTAGCTTTAGCTCTAACCTCACTAGAATTCACTTGTTACGTTAAGGAAAGGAGGACCACTTCAAGTCATTTTTTGAGTCAACATACAATAAAAGAAGTTAATTAAATTACAAAAAAATTTGTAAGGGAGCCTGGGCTTTGGAGTCACACAGAACAAGGCTGAAATTTTAGCCTTGCCATTCTGTGACCTTGGGAAAGTTACCCAACATCTCTGAGCCCCCAGTCTCTTTATAAACCAGATGTTAGAGAGGCAATCCTAAAGTGGCTAAAAGCAGAAATTCTTAGGCTGTACTTCCTGGATTCAAAACTTGGATCTTGGGCATATCCTTAACCTCGCTGTGCCTCAATTTCTTTATCAGTCAAAGGGGGGAGAATAATATTCACCTCATAGTGTTGTTAATGAGGGCTAAGTGAACATAAGGTTACAGCCTAGTATATAGGAAACATTCAATGAAAGTTCATTGTTGTTACATGTTAAAGCAGATGGAAATAATAACTACTAAAGATATATTTTGAGAACAGATTCAAATAATGAATATAAAGTCCCTACCACAATGATTAAGCATATAGCAGAGTATAATTAGTTGAAAGATGAAAATCTCTTCATGTATTTAGTACTTTGAAATTTCTTATGGCTACATCATTACTTAACTCTAAAGCAATTAAAATATTTTAGCATAAATCTTAGCATATCAGTCATGCCAGGGATATCATAACATACAGGCTAACTACTCACTTTATAAGTTTATTTTGTGCTGTTGTGGTATTCACATTTTTTTCATGCCTTTTCCTTGTTTTATTTTCTAAGTGATGCTTTTCTTATTCTTCTGTCCTAATTTACTGCATTCTCTAATTTGTTTGTAAATCATATCATTAAAAGCATAGATTATTAACCATAAAGAACGATTCATCTCAGATTCCTTTTGAGGACCAGAAAGTAACTTTGCCAACATTTCATTTCATGGCAAAGCTGGGACTGGGTCCTGGTTCTTTCAACTTCCAATGTAATAAATGTTTTTTATTTCAAAATTAAATACTAATTTTGAACTTACCCCCGTGGTCTTATTTTCTTCCTTGAAAACTTAAAGGAAAATGTAAAGGATAATTGGGTCCTTAAAAAGATCATCTCTCCTCATAAATTTTATTTCAGCAACAGACATTTAGACATTTGTTTCAGACATCTGAAACAAATGTCTAAACTAAATGTAAGATTTAGTTTAAAAAGTATTTTAAAAAATTTATTTATTTATTTTTCAATTTTCAGGTTCTTTCTTTTTTTTCTTTCTTTTTTTTATTATTATGTTATGTTAATCAGCATACATTACATCATTAGTTTTTGATGTAGTGTTCCATGATTCATTGTTTGTGTATAACACCCAGTGCTCCATGCAGTACGTGTCCTCTTTAATACCCATCACCAGGCTAACCCATCCCCCAACCCTCTCCCCCCTAGAACTCTCAGTTTGTTTCTCAGAGTCCATAGTCCCTCATGGTTTGTCTCCCCCTCCGATTTCCCCCCCTTCATTCTTTATTTTTATTTTTTGACAGAGAGAGAGAGAGACAGTGAGAGAGGGAACACTAGCAAGGGAGAGTGGAAGAGGGAGAAGCAGGCTTCCCGCCAAGCAGGGAGCCCGATGCGGGGCTTGATCCCAGGACCCTGAGATCATGACCTGAGCTGAAGGCAGACGCTTAACAACTGAGCCACCCAGGCGCTCCTATTTTAGAAAATGTAAAAAAAAATTTTTTTTAATTATTTTAATTCATCAAAATTACCTGCTTACAAAATTTTTTACATCTGTTAACTAATGTTGAATGACAAATATAGTAAATGTTGAACATTAGTATTATAAAAACTAGCATATTGGTTTTGTAGATCATATACATTTTATATTTAAATTTCTTTTTTTTTTTAAGATTTTATTTATTCATTTGACAGAGAGAGAGATAGCGAGAGCAGGAACACAAGCAGGGGAGTGGGAGAGAGAGAAGCAGGCCTCCCGTGGAGCAGGGAGCCCAGTGCGGGGCTCGATCCCAGGACCCTGGGATCATGACCTGAGCTGAAGGCAGACGCTTAACGACTGAGCCACCTATATTTAAATTTCTATTATTTAAAAAAATTCTCTGGCAGACTGCTATAAATTCTCTATAACTTTTGGTTAATTCTAATTTTTAACATTTACTTCAACATTTTAATACAATCTGTTGTAAATTATAAAAAATGATGTAGGTTGTGAATAATCCAGGTGCTTTTTTCTTTTTTTCTCCCATCCTGCCTATGGCCATTTCAGCCCTTAACAAAGAAATAGGGCAGGGTTTAGAGTTGCTGAAACTCAATACTGTCACTTTTCCTGATTGTTACCCTCAGTGGTAAAAAGTTCTTTGAAAGTCAGCAAAAGTTATTGAAATAAAAATGTATGTTTAGGATCCTCTTTGGATTTTGGTTTTCCATAATCAAGTATTCACTGTTTGGGAAAATAGCAATAATCCTGTGGAAACTCAGTGGTCTCCCAGAAGACATTCTAGGGGCCTTATGGGAGAGGACACTGGCTGTGTCCGGAAGAGGCGTACCCTGGTGGTAAACAGGTGGAGGCATTCAGGCTGGGAATTCTGAGAGGGGCTGCCTTGTGTGTGTATTTGGGGGTGGGGGTTGTGTCTCAGAAAGGGATGTATTCTGGGGTAGCAAATTACTTGACCAGACATCCTGAGAGTAGAGCACAGTTTGGATCAGTTTTGCATTTTCTAGGTACTTTTGACTCTTCATCTTTAATTCTTATATGAACTAAAATTTGTGAACACAGTCTCCTTTTTTCCCCCCTGATTTTTTAATTTAATTATGTGACGAATCTTAAAAGGGTACATAAATAAAATCAATCATATTATTAGTTGTATGTTTAAATAATTACTTCCCTTGAAAATAAAATAAGACTGTTTTAGAAAATTTTGGATATATGGTTGTCAGATCTGTATCTAGCCTATCATACACACACTTCTCCTCAGACCTTCTTCCCCTCACAATTCCTGCACTGTGGAAACCTCCTAGTCAGCTCCCTCAGAGATGTTCTCCTTCCTTCAAATATAGTCTTCAGCCTTTAAGGGTTCAGAACCATCGCCTTTGCCATGTATTCCTGCTTCATAGTGTTCAAGTTACTCTACCTGTCTCAAAAGACCTTTTTCCCATCTAGTTAGTACTACACTCTAATTTTCTAGTTGTCCCCCTCCACTCCCTCATCTAGTCAAGCAGTCTCCTCACTGTCTCTCTCTGCTACTCATTTCTGACTGCCCTGGTCCACACTGTTTCTCATCTCATCTTCCCTTCCCTTCCCTTTTTGGAACTGTTATACACAGCTCCTCACAATGCAGTGCTTTAATTCTTTTGTGTATGTAGAATCACATTAGATTGGAGATGTCTGGAATTTCATCTCTATCTAGTTCTTGCTATCTTTGCAATAGACACTGCATCAAAAAAGCATTAAGTGAATAATCAAGGCATAACCTCTGCAGAGGTCATGAAAAATCCCTTTAAAAACCAGATGGATATTTCACTTTGTGAGGGGCTGAGGGGTGTATAGTGTTTAAAAGTTGGAAGACTTTCTGAATGAGTGAGGGCAGCTGTTTTCTGTGCAGCAGAATTTTAGGATGAGAGGTCATGGAAGACATGAGAGGTCATCCTGTGACCAGTTGTTCTAAAGTCCAAAAGATATGTTCTTGGTGTCAAGTTTTATCTTCATTTCATTTAACACACTGGAATTATCTGAGAGTTGAAAAATTGGCTTTCCCACTAGCACCCACACTCAGGTAGGTAGGTCTTCAGGAAAGGGAGGGATGGGGAGGAGGAGTGAGGTCCAATGAAAGATATATAAAAGTGTCTGATTATTAGTATCTAAGGAGAGAGAAGAAAAATAACTAGTAATTATGGCAGTAGAGTCCTAGGAGTCTAGTTTGAACAGCATTCTCAACTAATGCAGTAATTTAACTGATGAGTGACAGAGTGGTGGCATTCAGTTCGAAGTTTTATTTGGCCATACCTTCTACATTCTTTCTCTTGAGGAAATGCCCAAACGTGTAGATTCGAGTGACAGCAAGGCAGTTAAATAATCTGGGATATGAATGTGGTTTTGGTACACTGCAGCAGCTATAAAATCAGTGAAGAAAAATCTGGATTCTTTTTTTTTTCCTTTAAGAAAATTGAATCGTTTCTTTGCATTTCTTCTTTGGTAGCTCTAAATCAAAATTTTAATTTAGGGATTATTTAACTCCTATCCTTTATCTGCATTAAGAATCTAGAAGCTTTTTATAACTAAAAAAAGTTGCAATTCTCTTGAGCTTCTGCCAATAGTGTACAGTGATGCCAAATTTATGTGTGGGAAAGTTGATTTCAATGAGGGTAATTTAGCTGAAGTTTAGTCTAAGAAACTAGTGTTTTGCTGCCAAGCAATTATTTGCATTTCTAAAAAATGACTTATACAGTTTTTACCAATGCTTTCTTTTCATCATAGACTAGTTACTTAAGTAAGTTATTGTCACAAATGGTGTATTTTCTATAAAGGAAATTATATTCTTGTTTAATTTGGTTAATGTCAGCCTTGTTTTTAATATGTGATTTGAGTACTTCTATTAAATGCTGCCTTTGTTTGAATAAAAATCCATAGGAATTAAATCAACAGCTAGAAAAAAGAAAAGAAATGGAAGAACGTGAAAAAAGAAAGGTAATTGCTGAAGAAAAGCACAAGGAATGGGTTCAGAAAAAGAATGAACAGGTAAGGAGGAAAAAAAATCTGCACCCACATACTGACAGCTCTTTTGCAAAGTCTTCTTTTCATCTACTCCTCCTAACCTAGGTTTTTGTTATTTTCTCTGAGATTCATTCTTTGACCTGATTTTTTTCCCCCTGCCTTCATGGACATTTATCAAGTCTCAGTCTTCTACCCTTTGTTCTCTGCTTCTCTCCCTTTTCCCTCACGTGGCTTCCTTGTATCTTGCTGCAGGTAGTCATGGAGTCTGTATCTCGGCCTGACTTCCTGGGGTCTTGGACTTCCATCTCTTAGGTTGGCAGGCACCTCTGAGCCTGCAAATCTATAACAACCCATTTTTGCCCATTCTCCTTTGATTTCTGTTATTGGTACTACTGTCATCTCAGTCACCTAGGCATAATCAGAGTTATTCTGTTGTTTGTGACTTCCCCTGACATCACCTTTCCTCTGTTGTCACCACTCTCCTGTTTGCAGTCTCTTCCTGTCTGGTCTCATTACATCTTTCAACTTATTTACTGTTTATTTCCCCATACTGGATGTAAGCTCCATAAGAGCAGAGAGTCTTGTCTCTTTTATTCAGTTCTCCAGCAGCTGGATCAGTGCCTGACACATAGTAGATGCCCAAAAATATTTGTTGAGTGAATGAATCCATCCTCTGTGGCTTTGCCAGACTGATCTTGCTGAAAAAGTCCAGTGTCATTCCCCAATTCAAAATATATTTTTTATGATTCCCTACTGTCCTCTAAATAATGTTTTAACAATTCTAGCCTGGCTGGTTAAAGATCTACTAGTCTGCTCTCTGAGCCATGTCTTCTTCCACCTGTGGTTCTCTTCATCTTACGCTGTTGCTTCTTACTGGCATTCTTTTGGGAGCACACATAGGATAATCGTGGTCCATCTTCCTAGAGTATTAGTTTTACTGAAAATTTTTGGGAGGAAAAATGTTATTTTCATGTTAAAGCAAGCATAGATATTTAATGGGGATAGAATACAAATTTTATATTATTTTTAAGATACACAGTAGATTTCAGAGAAATCCCAAGCAATAGACTGTGCTCCCCACTCCCCAGGATATGTAGTCATGAGAAATTTTGAGAACATTTCCATTTTGTTTCTCACTTCCTTATTTTTTTATATTCTAATTCATCAGCATGGAATCTCATCATATCGTCCGCCTTACCTTTCCCTTTATTATCCAACTCAAAGTATTTTCTACATGAATCATTCACTGATCACATGCTAGAAATAGAAACTCTTTCCTTCTCTGAATCCTGGTTCAATTTATATCACTTTGTATTTTGTATATGTTTTGTGGCTATTTTGGATTATGCGTATGTCTTTACTTCCTTGTAATTTTAAGACAGTTAAGGGTAAGAATTATTTTTTATATTACTTTTTCTCTATTATAAGATCAGTAAGCATTTGTTATTGGAATGAATGAATAAATCTGTTATCTTTCAGTTTTAATACATTCTTTTATTGGATTACAAATTAGAAATTTTGAAAATACTTATCTTTTTATCTGTTTTCTCTTGTAATTTTCACATATTTAGAATGATACTGCTTTTATTATTTGATCCAATTTTATGAGTTTAGTCAGATGTTTAGATTATAAGACAGAGTTTTAAATTTTTAATTCTAATTGTCCTTAACTATTATTGAATCTAATGCTCAGTGGCATTAGTAAGAGTGGTCAATAATTTCAGTAAGTTGAAGATGACATAGCTTCTGTCATCCAGGTATTGTAAGAAGAAAATTGGCTGGACAGATGTGTGTTATAACCATAGATGTATTTGTTCTTAATTTCACAAGTAAATCATTATTATTTTTAAGTTTGCTTCATTCCATAATACAATAAGAAAGTTCTTTGTGAATCAGTGCCCAAATCAGAATAAGTCTGTGTGACTGTTTGCAAGGTCTGTGTGATATTTTGTGTAGTTTATAGCTATAAAACAAAACAGTTTTACATGTACAGAATAGTATGCTCTCTCCTCTAAAAGCTTCTCTTATCTTCTAACTCCATTAAGCTCATTTTACCATGCCAGTCAAACATAGTTGTTATTTGTCTAAGAATGTAAGATACTGCTGAGAGATGATATAGCCTCTATTTTAATTAGTGTCAGTAGATCTAATCCAGTTATTTGAGAAAAAAAAAAAACTTTTTTTCTTTTGGACGGAAATGGTTTGTCCTGACATAAATCACCAATTATTGAAAGCAAGATTCCATAAGTATGAGAATGGTTCAAAAATAAGCTCTGAGAAATTAAATTTATTTATTCTGCAGAACTCTTGTACAAGTTAAGGAATAATTGATTACTCTATGTTTTTTTTTTCTTTCAGACCTATCAGATTTCTTCTTCCAGTCTCAGTTAGATTTACCTCTCTTTGTAAAGACTGCTCTCCTGGTTCTTCTCTTCCCGTCTGGCATCTCTGTTTACATTTCATGGTGTGTGGTCCCTGCTGCCTCTCGCTTCATTCACATTTTAGCTATATCTGGCACATAATTTTCTCTCAGTCATTTTCGCTGTGTTCTATCAAAAAATCAGACAAAAAGAATTTATGTATCCATTAGCAAAGTTGGTTTCTTCTGACACTAAATTGTTAAATCCTTTTCAAATAAATGGCTTATCTCATCTGGTACTCTTACATTTGTGTGGCCATACTAATTCATTTTTTTTTTTTAACAGTGTGTTACCACACGTGTTGTGAAAGGGCCTTATTTACCTTCATTGTTTTAAAAAATAGTTAAAAATAAAATTACTTTTAATTCTCAAAACATGGAACTGATTTTTCAGTGTAAAAAATTAATTCAGATTGATAAAGCATACGATAACACTGTTACCCAATGCATCATTCACGCATTCAACACTTTTACTATGTTCCAGATACTACTGAAGGAACCAAAATAGAAGTTCAGAAACTTTAAGTAGCCAGTTATTTTGTTAGTTTCCTTCAGTTGCAAGAAACAAAGGTTCTATCAGGGCCCTATCTTAAAAAAAGGAAGATTTATTGTTGTGCTCTGTGTGGTATAGAACTGGAGTGCCAGAAAATCTGAAGCCACTTAGTAGCTGTCCGTTCTATCTTAGTGCATCCCTCTGAGTGCCTGCTCTCTTCTCCTTGTGCTAACTAAAGGCATTCCGTTCTCTCTTCTCCAGCTTGAATTCTACAGAAAGTCTTTTTGATGTTTTAAAAGAAACTTCATTGAGCTATAATTTACATACAATAAAATAAACCTATCTTAATTTGGATGAGGTTTGACAAAGTTATGTACCTATGTAATAAACAGCCCCACAGTCAAGATATAGAATATTTCTGTCACTCCAAAAACTTCCCTGTGTCCCTTGGCATTCAACCCCTGTTCCCTACCCCCAACTAGTCCCAGCTCCAAGGAAACCATTAGTCTGCTTTCTGTTTCTGTGGATTAGATTTACCTTTTCTAGAATTTCATATAAATGGAATCGTACAATATGTATTCTTTTGAGTTGGGCCTCTTTTGTTTTTAAAATTTCCTAGTATTAAGACTGAACCTTTTTATTGTTGAGTAGTAGTCTATTCTGTGCAGTACCACAAATTGTATATCCATTTACCAGTTGTTGGAAAAATGGTTGTTTTCAGTTTTGGGGTATTACGAATAAAATTTTATGACCACTTATGTACAAGTCGTGCTGTGGACATTTGTTTTCATTTTTTGGGTAAATGCTTAGGAACTGAATTGCCAGGTTGTATGGTAAGTATGTGTTTAAAAGAAACTGCCAAACTGTTTTTTAATGTGCTTGTATCATTTTACATTTTCACCACTATTGTATGAAAGTTCCAGTTGCACCACAGCCTTGCCAAACTTGATATTGTCAAGTCTTTTTCAGTTTAAGTCATTCTAGTGGCTATGTGGTGGTATGTCATTGCTGTTTTAATTTTCATTTCCCTGAGATCTAATGATATTTAGCATCTTTTCATAAGCTTGTTGTATTAATCTACTAGGGCTGCCATAACAAAATACCACAGAATGGGTGGCTTAAACAACAGAAATTTATTTTCTTATAGTTTTGGAGGCCAGAAGTCTAAAATGCTGGTTATCAGCGAAGGCTTCTCCTGAGGCCTCTCTTTTTGGCTTGCAAGATGGATGCCTTCTCTCCATACCGTCACATGTCCTTCTCTCTGCATGAATATCCCCGATGTCTCTTCTTCCTCTTATAAGGACACCAGTCCTATGGAATTAGGGCCCTACCCTTACGATTTTAATCACCTTCATTACCTCTTTAAAGGTCCTCTCTCCAAATATAGTCACTTTGAGGGTTAAGGCTTCAACATAAGAATTTTGGGCAACACGATTCTGTCTATAACACTATCAACCATTTCTACATCTCATTTCCTGTTTTGTTTTGTGCTTAAATTTTTGCCCATTTTGTGGAAGAATTGTATGTCTTATTCATAAGTTGTACGATTTCTTTATATATTCCTTTAAGTCCTATCACATGTATGTATTCCAAGTATTTCTTCCCATTTAATTTTCCTTAATGGTAATTTTTTTAAAGAGAAGTTTTAAATTTTGATAAAGTTCCATATTTAAAAATTTTGTTTGTAGCTTGTGAGTTTTGTGTCCTATTTAAGAAACATTTGCCTACACCATATGTGTAAAAATATTCTCCATTGTTTTCTTCGGGAAGTTGTAGAACTTTAGTTTTTACCTGTATGTGTATTTTGAGTTAATTTTAATGTGTGGTATGAGTTAAGGATCAAGGTTCATTTTTTCTTTTTTTTTTTTTGGCATATGGATGTCCAATTGTTCTAACACTGTTTGTTGAAAAGATAATCTTTTCCCTATTTAATTACCTTGGCACTTTTGTTTAAAATCAATTGACCGTATAAGTATGGGTCTATTTCTGGACTCTTTTTTCTCCCTTTGATCTAGTCCTGTGCCAGTACCACACTAACCTGTTACTATAGCTTTATAATTATTGAATTTATAATTCTTCTAATTAGATAGTGTAAATCTTCCATTTTTTTCTTCTCTTTCAGAATTGTTTTTAGTTAATCTGTGTCTTTCCATATACAATTTAGAATCAGCTTATGAATTTCTCTGATCACGTTTGCTTTAATAATGCCTGACACTATTGTGATTTCATTAAATATATAGATCATTTTGGAGAAAATTGCTATCTTAGTAATATCAAATTTTAAACCTATAAACATGATTTTTCTTTCTATTTATTTAGGTCATGTTTAATTTCTCTCAGTAATGTTTTTTAGTTTTCAAGGTACAGTGGTATTATACATCTTTTGTTAAATGGATACCTAAGAATTTCATGTTTTTGATGATGAGAACAGTTATCTTGCATTATTCCTGTTAGTATATTATGACTTCCATGCCTGGTTTTGATATCAGAATAATACTGGGCTCTTAAAATGAGTTTGGATGTGTTCCTTTTTTCTGTATTTTCTGAAATACTTTGTGTAGTAATTGGTATTATTTCTTAAATATGTGATGAAATCTGGCAGTGAAGCTATTAGAGCCTGGGGTTTTCTTTGTGGGAAAGTTTTAATTTCTGAATTATCTTTACAAGTAGAGGGTTATTCAGATACTCTATTTTCTTTTTTGAATCAGTTTTGGAAAAATATATTTTAAGGAATTTTATTAATTTAATTTTATTTAAATTGAATTAATTGACATAAATTTTTTAAAAATATTTTATTTATTTATTTGACAGAGAGACAGTGAGAGAGGGAACACAAGCAGGGGGAGTAGGTGAGGGAGAAGCAGGCTTCCCGCTGAGCAGGGAGCCCAATGCGGGCCTCGATCCCAGGACCCTGGGATCATGACCTGAGCCAAAGGCAGCCGCTTAACGACTGAGCCACCCAGGTGCCCCGACATAAAATTATTTTTAACATTCATTCCAGTGTCTGCACGATCTTTGATCTGCCACTTACCAAATCTGTGTGACTTTAGGCAAATGACTTAACTTCTTTGTGCCTCGTTTCCTCGTTTGTAAATTGAGATTATAATAGTGCCCTACCTCATATTGTGGTTATAAGAATTGACTTGGTACACATGTATAAAGTATATACAGAAATAATAGAAAGAGTCAGCACTCAATAAATGTTAGCTATTATAATTAAAGACGATGTAGGGACTGGATGACTCCTTGTTGATGAGGGTTGTGAAGGAGTCTCATGAGTCAGTGAGCAAGATGTACTACAAGATCCTTTTTAATCTTGTAGCTTTTCTGACAGTATGAAGTAAAATCCAGTATTGTTTTAATGGATTGTGTTCTCAGCAAGAAAGGATTTCTTTTTGCAGCTGTTGGCTGCCCAGCAAGACAGAAGTACACATAGCATCTTGGGGACCGACTTGGCCTTGTTTTTTTTTTTTTTTTTTAAGATTTATTTATTTTAGAGAGAGATTGCATGCAAGAGAGAGAGCAGGGGGTAGGGGCAGAGGGAGAGGGAGAGAAGCAGCGGAGCCCCACATGGGGCTCGATCTCACGACCCTGAGATCATGACCTAACCGAAACTAAAGAGTTGGTCGCTCAACTGACTGAGCCACCCAGGCGCTCCGGGCTTTGAATTTTAAGACCTGTCTTTCCTGCGTAGCATCTGGCGTATATTGTATGTAACTGATGTTTATTACTTGGGTGTTACTTGAATTGCTTATACTGAAGTATTCTACAAGATGCTTTCAGGGGAGGAATTTTTTTCTTCGGTCATATTTCTTTTGCTCCGTGAAGGGTAATGCATCTGGCATTTGTACTGCTTACACTTACGCCTTGCAGATTATTTTCTAAACCTTTGATAAGGAGAGTAAGCCATGTTATTGGTTTATTTAGAATGTAGCTGGGTTGGTAAATTATCTTCTGAATGAAAAGGAAAAAAACATCGAACCATAGACAAATTTTTTCTGTAAAGGGCCAGATAAATAGTTTAGGCTTTGCAGGCCATACAGTCTCTGTTGTAGCTCTTCAACTTTGCTGTTGTGGTGCAAAAACAGCCATAGACAACAAATCTATAAATAAATGGATTTGGCCACATTTCAGTAAAACTTTATTTACAAATACAGGACCATATTTGTTTTTTTTTTTTTTTTAAGATTTATTTATTTATTTATTTGACAGAGAGAGACACTGCGAGAGAAGGAACACAAGCAGGGGGAGTGGGAGAGGGAGAAGCAGGCTCTCCTCCGACCAGGGAGCCCGATGCGGGGCTCGATCCTGGGACCCTGGGATCATGACCTGAGCCAAAGGCAGACGCTTAACGACTGAGCCACCCAGGCGCCCCTACAGGACCATATTTGGTCTGGGGACCATAGTTTGCCAACCTCTGGTCTATGTAGGACTTATAAGAATTATAACTAGAGATTTGTCTGTATGTGCCCTTATAACAGTATTTAATGGTCCAAAATGTTATTTTTTTGTCTTCTGTAGCTCACAGATGGCAAAGATTGTATCTAAGTATTTGTATTGGCAAACTGTCAGGAAATGTATGGCTCCTATTTTAGAGTGAAAGTAAACATCTACTAAAAAATACAAGATTCAGAACAATCTAACAGGTTGTAATTTCTGTTCATTAATCAGCAAATCTTTATGGAGCACCTACTGTTTACTTAGCAGTAGCACAGGCTCTGAGTATACTTTGGTGGGCAAGGTCTTTGTTACTGTCATCATGAAACTTACAGCAAAGCTGGTAGACTAAAATTGACCAGGGGATTGCAGGTGTGTTATATATTTTCATAAGCTACATTGTGTCAACCACTATGTTACCACCTTTTTTAAGAAATAACTGAAGTATAGAAAATTGCTGCATATAATACTCCTTGCTTATATGGGCATAATTACAGATATTCCAATTAAAATTCCTTCATTTTTTATTTAAGAAAAGAAAGGAAAGGGAACAAAAAATTAACAAGGAAATGGAGGAAAAAGCAGCAAAGGAATTGGAGAAAGAACATTTGCAAGAAAAGGCAAAAGAAAAATACCAAGAATGGTTAAAGAAGAAAAATGCTGAAGAATGTGAAAAGAAGAAGAAAGAAAAGGTATTTTTATTAAAGTGACCAGTTGGAATATATGGCTTTAGTGTTCATATGTGCCAACTATATTGTATAAAAAGTTTCTAATAGAAAATTGGCAGCACCTTAGCATAAAATAAATACATGAAGCTATCCCTACTTATTTATACTATGTGGAAGTTTCAGAAATGAATATGCATTTGTGGTTTTCTTAGGTTGAGAAATATTTATAAGCCTGTTGATGTATTTTCAGTCAGGTTCAAACTTTTTTTCATGGTTTATGCTTTTAAATATCTTTTGATGCACTTTCATGAAAGTCTTACTACATTGTAAATTACTGTCTATTTTAAAACAGTGAATTGCTTTTTTTCTTCTTGGGTTTGATGTCTTATCGTTGTTTAGAAGCAGCCACCTTTAGATTACATCCCTGATCATGTTTAATTTTGTTATCAAATTATAGAAATATGATTTAGTATTTATGATTAGTAAGGCATTGGGGTGGGAAGCTATTGGGGAAAAGAGTCAGTGGAATTAGAATAGAATTTTTGGTTATAGAACATCACTAGAGATTTTTTGGTCTTGTCATTTTAAGGAAAAAGAAAAACAACGGCAAGCTGAATTACAGGAAAAAAAGGAAATAGCAGAGAAAAGGTTTAAGGAATGGTTGGAAAACGCAAAACATAAACCTCGTCCAGCTGCAAAGAGCTATGGTTATGCCAATGGAAAACTTACAGGTTGGTTTTTATGTTATGTGGCTTACATAAATATGGCTTGCAGGAGCAAATATTATACATTATGTTTCCTTTTGACAGAAATAGAAATGTGTAAATCATTTTTCTTTCAAATTACTATTTTCTGGAAGATGGCAACACACTGTATTCCTATAGAGATACTACAAATTTTTTGTCATTCTTTTATAAATCAGACATATTTTAAAGGCAGTAGTTGCAAAACTGCAAAGTAATGATTTCTGCCATTAAGAAACACATAGAACTTTCTTATGTTTTTGGTTTTTGAAGCCTTAATGAGGATATATTTAAGAGGTCATTTTTCCTCCCCTTCTTCTAACCATCTCTTAGGCAGAGCTTCCGATGTCTTTGGCACATTCCTTTTGCTGGGTGGAATACTAGGCAGCACATGAACCCGACAAAAAACCGGTTGGCCTTTAGGCTTGCTCTGATTATAAATGGCAGTGCATGTTTTTCTTTGTACTTCATGTTGGAAGCTCATACCTTGCTGACAGCTGCCTTTACTTGTTTAAGTGATTTATTATTAAAAATACTCCCATTCTGTTCTGTTCACACAATAGAACATATTCCAGACTTTGTTTTGACCATCTTGGTGAAGTGTGTGTTGACATATCTATGCAGTCAAAGTGGGTTGCCAGTGTCTGAACGACATTCCTGCTGTCAGGGTTTAGGCCTCTCCTACGTGTCACAAAAGTCATCCATTACAGCTACTAGGCACTAGGCATGGTCTGCTCCTTTCTCTTCTCTTTTTCTGTTTGAAAAAAAAGAGGAATAAGCAGTGGTTTTAACCAAACAATTGATTAGTAAAGTTAAAACATTAGGTGGGAAGATACATAGTGACTAGAAGTTTTTTGCTACAATAATGGATTGTTTTATTAAGTTTTTTGCATTTTTAATGAGTTTTGTTCTAATAAACATTTGTCTGCAAATGCTCTACTGCTCTTAATAATCAAAATTACAGTGATATTATGAAATTGATTAATTTGATTGAAAATAATTTAGAATTCCAGTGATTCTGAACAAGAGTTTTGATTCACTTTAGCTATAATGCAGTGTACCTTTTTTTTCTCTAAAGTTCAGTGTCTGACTAGGGAAAACTAGTACACAATCAGTGGTTTCCTAGATTGAGTTAAGAAAATGAAGATTTTAATCAGTTTAAGGGTTCTTTTTTTTTTAAAGATTTTATTTATTTATTTGACAGAGAGAGACACAGTGAGAGAGGGAACACAAGCAGGGGGAGTGGGGGAGGGAGAAGCAGGCTCCCCGCTGAGCAGGGAGCCCAATGTGGGGCTCGATCCCAGGACCCTGGGATCATGACCTGAGCCAAAGGCAGACGCTTAATGACTGAGCCACCCAGGCATCCCAGTTTAAGGGTTCTAAAAGTAATTTCTTAATAAAAATTTTATATGAGTTTTTATTTATATAGATTTTGACAACACTCTTTGGACTTATAGAATTATCATTTATATTTTAATTTTTACTTCGATACTTACTGTATTTGAAAAATGTTACTTGTTTGAAAATATGTTAGAGTTCAAATTTTAAATGGATTAAATTGGCTTGTCAGTGATATTTTGCCCTTTTGATACTATAACATTTTTCTAGAAATTTAAAAATAAGTAGTTTCTTTGATCTCAAGAAGTTTTTTCTTGTTTTGTTTTGTTCTGACTTTTTAATAATTTTAGATTTTTACAGTGGAAATTCTTATCCAGAACCAGCCTTTTATAATCCAATTCCATGGAAACCCATTCATATGCCTCCTTCCAAAGAAGCTAAGGACCTATCAGGAAAGAAGACTAAAAGGCCTGTGATAAGTCAGCCACACAGGTCATCATCCTCTCTGGTGGTTCAGAAAGCCAGAAGCAATCTTTGCCTTGGAACTCTGTGCAGAATACAAAGATAGTGGGTGTGGGAAATTGCATGCTTTTACCTGAAGCTATTTAATTTTAAAAGTAGAATCATTTTTTACTCCTCAGTCAACAGCTCAATATTTGATGTGATTATTGACACTTTCACATTTTTGCATTTGTATATGTTGTCCTTAGAGCTAATTGAAGAAAATGCTTTATACATTTTCATTTTTATAAGTCCTTCAAGGTTGATCTTGGCATTTTGTTTCACAGGATAAGTGACTGAAAATCTAACAATTGTGTTTATATTTAGCTTGTATTAAAACTACATTGTAATACCAATAAAACCAACAATTTGTGTTGTGTTCTTTCATACTCTGTGTTTGTGTTTATGAACATAGTAAGATTAAGCTTAAATTGTTCAAACAAGCATTTCTAAACTGCATACTCAAGATAACTCTTAGAAGAATTTAAATGGGTTAGACTCCTACAGAAATCAAAAACAGTCTTTGTTGATAACTTTTGGTGTATTTTTCCTTTGTAAATATTTTTAAATAAATAGAGGCATGTTTTATAACAAAGAAATGAGGGTTGAGTTTTTGAAAGGGAAATTTTAAAACATTGTTATATGCTCTGGATCTTAGATTGGTATGTAGCAATCTTGAGACACTAATAATATTTTGCTAAACTTTGTACAATTAGATGGTTAATTTTGAAATTAAGATTATCAGTACATTATTTTTTAATGTTAAAGGTTCAGTGGTATTTTATTGAAGCTGAGATCTTATTAGTAAATACATATTAAGGAAAGTAGTTCAAAGGATTACTAAAATAACACTCAGCACTTTTTACTAAATTTTAAAAGTCTGTATCTTTTTTTAGGAACCATCAAGAAATGAAGATTTGTTGTGGCAATATAAAGTTCAGTAAGTTCATTTAAAAATGATACCTGTGTAGAGCATATTCCATGTTTCTGCTAGGTTTGTCATCTGTCTAGTTTCTGGTGATGAATGTACAATGGTGATGACCCACGCAAAGAAACAGCAGTAGGATCTTTGAAGGGTATTCATGTCATCAGAGATCTAGGAAAATTCACTTCTAAGCAGAGAACAGTTTGGGAGGAGTCAGTAGGGTTCATTGGGTCAGAATATTGGTGAGATTTAGAGGCTTGACCATCCTTCTCAGAACCTCTTAGACACAATGATATTTCCAGGTGATCATTCCCTTGAACAAATTCACCTGTGTAGGGAAAATGTACAGTTAGCCAGAGTAGCAATAAACTTGGTTAAAAACAAAGCATACATAGGCCTGAATTCCTGGAGGTTTTATATATGTTTGTATTTAAGAAACCTTCAATTTTACACATAGATTAAGTCATTTAGGCAACTTTTAACTATAACTCTAATTCTAATCAGACTTTTTGTTCAGTCAATAATTACTTAGTTTGACCAATATTACAATAGTCCCCCCTTATCTGTGGTTTTGATTTCGGTGGATTTAGTTACCCGTGGTCAACCATAGTCCCAAAGAAGGGTAAGTACAGTATAATAAGTATTTTGAGAGAGAGACCACATTCACATAACTTATTAGAGTATATTATTATAATTGTTCTGTATTGTTAATCTCTTACTGTGCTTAATTTAGAAATTAAACTTCATCATAGGTGTGTATGTATAGGGAAAAACAGTATATATAGGGTTTGGTACTATCTGTGGTTTCAGGTGTCCACCAGAGAGGGGTCTTGGAACGTATCCCCACAGATAAGGGGGGGACTACTATAATCGAACATTTACTGTGACAGATGTTTTGCATATTGATTTAGGAATTTAAATGGCATATTTCTTTAATTCAGTCAACATTTACAGCCTAGCCAGGAAAACCTGTAACAGACTAAATACTATAATAGGAAGCTTAAAATCAAGTTCAAAGTTCATCTGGGAACATAGGGGAGAGAGAGTTCAGCCTGTGAAGGGATTAAGAACGTCTACAAAGAGGAGGTGACATTTGAGCTCATAAAATATAGACAGGGATTTTCCAAATGGTCATGAGGCTGACCATACTCATGGACATGCAGAGAGAAGTAGCTGGGAGAGAGTGGGGGTCAGAGTAAAAAGGCTCTGTGTATGCTGCAGAATTTGGACTTGATCTTATGGATGTGTGATGTCCTGTTTTACTACTCCAGTGATCCATTATAAAAAGATTTTGACTACCAAACTCATTTATTATTAAAATCCCATTTTATTAATCAAAAACTTCCATCAACATACCTGATTACCAGGAGATTAGTGTTTTAAACCTGAATCCATTTTTCTTGATATCAGGGTACTTGATATTTTAGGCATTACAAACCATAACATTTGAAATTTCTGTTGAGGTTTTTAAAATATCTCTGATTTCTACTACCACTGTGATTGGAAGTGCTCTGAAATATCTGGATAGCCTATAGTGTCAACAAAATCATGATCTGATAGAAAGAACACAGGTATTGTAGATCTGAGTCTGTGAGTCCTGGCTGTATATCTATGTGTCTGGAAGATGCCTTGTTTTTTTTTCAGTGTTCAATACCTTATCTAATTTAAAACTTAACATGGGGTTACAGAATAGTAAGTGGAAGTACCTAAAAATGCAAGTTTGTTTCTTTTTTGTATGATAATTCTGATAAGATGTACCAATATTCTTTTTCTTTAGTGATAATCGATTTATATAATAACTGACTTCGGTTAATGTACTGGTCTTGACTGAGGATATACCAACAGTAAGTTAACTTGTCAGTACTTGTCAGTGCTCATTTACCCCTAGGCTAAAAGTAAAAAGTGAATACTGTTTTCATTTTCTTCAGATTGATTCAATTAATACTTATTGAATACCTACTATGGGCTAGGTGCTGGAGTTCATCTGTGAATAAGAGGGCCCCCTTCACCCTCGTGCGATCTTATGTGACAGTGATAGGAAACATATTAAACATGTAAACAAACAGCATTTTATTTGGCTCTGGATGCTATAAAGAAAATACGATAGAATATTGGGCTAAGTTGTAACTGGGTGGAGGAGGAAGTGCTACTTTAGATGGATGGGCTTCTCTGAGGTGGTAATATGCAGCTTAGCCTTCCTAAAATCTGGGGAAAGAGATTCCCTGTCAGAGGGAACAGCCAGTAGAGAGGCCCTAAAGCAGAAACGAATTTGCGGGGCACCTGGGTGGCTCAGTCGGTTGGGCATCTGCCTTCAGCTCAGGTTGTGATCTTGGGATCCTGGGATTGGGCCCCACAATGGGCTCTCTGCTCAGCAGGGAGTCTGCTTCTCCCTTTGCCCACCCCTCCCACCCTCCTCCCTCCTTGTGTTCTCTGTCTCAAATAAATCTATAAAGAAAAAAGAAAGAAAGAAATGAATTTGCTATGTTTGAAAAAAGGCCAGTGTGCCTGGCGTGGAGCAAGTTATGGGGAAAATAGTAGGAGTTAAGGTTGGAGGGCCAGATCACATATCCTGAGTTCACTAGTTCAAATTTTATTCAAATTGTATTGAGAAGCATCTGGAAGGTTTTAAGGAGGGAATTGATGTGATCTGATTTATACTTGGAGATTACTCTGGCTGCTGTGAGGAAATTAGCTTGTTGGGGACAAAGAATCAAGGCAGGGAAACTCATGGGGAGGATTTTGCAGTATCCAGGAAAAAATCATGATAGTTTGGAGTAAGGTGGCAGCAGCAGCATGGTAGGAAGTAGAGATGGATTTGGGATATATTTTGGCAGTGGGACAAGCACGACTGCTAACATTTGGATGTCAGGTTGAGGGAAGGAGGAAAAATCAGATACGACTTCTAGTTTTTAGGCCTGATAACTGGGTGAATGATGATAACTATTATAGAAATCAGAAGATGTGGTAGGAGCAGAGGCATGGCTGAGATGAGGAGAGAGGAGTCCTTAAGGATTCTGACTGGTTTACAGTACCAACTTAATAACCTGGTGGAGAGGGCAGTTAGATATTTGTGCCTGATGCTCAGGGGGCAGCCAGGATTGGAGATATAAATTTAAGCAACATCAGTACGTAGGTGGTATTTAAAAGCATAGGGAGGTTACCTAGGGAGGGTTTAGGTAGTAAAAAGAGAGGGCTCGGTATCCCAATATTTAGAAATTGAACAGCCAGCAAGGATCCTGCAAAGGAGCATTCGGTGAAGTCGAAGGAAACCCAGTGGGGTATGACGTCCCAAAAGACATGGGAAGTGTTTGAAGCAAGGAGCTACGAAGTCTGTTCAGTGCTGCTTGAGAGATAAGGAAGAGCTGGAAAGAGCCTTCATAAATGGCCGTGGTAAGATGAAGGAAGGCCATTATTGACCTCAATATTGAAAACTTTGTGTATTGCTAACAGTATTCTGTGTGCTTTTGTGTGTGCTAACTTTTTTAGTCCTCACAAGAACCCTATGAGACAGTTACTTTTGTTATCCCCATTTTATAGCTGAGGGAATTGAGACAGACAAGTTATGCTGCTTTTATACCTAGTGAGTCACAGAACAGGGATTGGAACTCAGGAGGTCGAAGTCCAACAACCATATTCTGTTTCCCTCCTATATAATATGTATGATAAGAAAAAGTAGTATGAAACCACAATCAAAGTAAGTTGAGAGAATGGCAAGTGAGAATGTGTAGATTGTATGTCAAGACAACTCTTGAGAGAAGTTTTGTGGAGAGGAGATATATGGGATGGGAGCTGGCAGAGAACATAGGTCAAGGACATTGTTTTGCTTAAGATGGGTGATCTTAAACATGTTTCTGTGCTGATGTTGATGATCAGGGTAAAAGAGGGGGCTTGAAGAGTAAGGAGAGATCAAGGATGGTTTTAGGAATGCAATTCTTAAATGGCTTATGTGGAAGCAAGGAATTTTCCTCCCTGCTGACCAGAGAAAACACAGTGTATTGGTTCATATGTAGCTGGATTAATGCATTGGTGGTAGGAGGGTGAGAGAGGTAGTTCTTCTCTGATAGCTTCTGGGTTCTCAATCAAGTATGAAAGGGAAGCAAGTAGAGGGATACAAGAAGTTACCTCAAGTAGGAGAGATAACGGAGAGGTAATAGAGAATGAGCATCTTGCCAAGGGGAGAACAAATGTACCAGAGAAATTAATAGGACTTGATGGGCAGTGTTGTTTGCCATTTGATATTTTTGGTCCAATTTTGGACCAATTAGCAGAACTCTATTTTATTCCATTTCTAGGGAGAAGTTTAGCTACTTGGGATTAGGAGCAGAGTAAGACTTTATTAGGGTTGGACAAGTAGAGCAAATAGAATGGAGGGAGAAAGAACAAAGCATTTAAAGAGTGTTTTCCAGGGAGTGATTATAGCACTGAAACATGGTATTTTTTTTTTTTTAAGATTTTATTTATTTATTTGAGAGAGACAATGAGATAGCGAGAGCATGAGAGGGGGGAGGGTCAGAGGGAGAAGCAGGCTCCTCGCTGAGCAGGGAGCCTGATGCGGGACTCGATTCCAGGACTCCGGGATCATGACCTGAGCCGAAGGCAGTCGCTTAACCAACTGAGCCACCCAGGTGCCCTGAAACATGGTATTTAACAATGGATGGTGGATGGTGAGGAAGAGGTTTTCAGTTGATGAGTGTTTCCAGTGCTCTTGCAGAATGTTGGGTTGGAGGTTCTTGAGGGAAGCTGGAGAGGTAGGAGCTTGTAGTCAGATGATGGTAGTGACAAGATCTTGACTATGACCATGGCAGTGGGTGGTCCACATGGAGTATATTGATGGAATTGAGAAAATTAAGAAAACAACAGGCCAGGATTTGGGGAGACTTTTTTTATATGGATATTCAAATTGCCAGGAATTATGACAGTAATGGTAGAGAGAAGATAGTGAGCTGGGTGCTGGGATTTCAGTAACTAGGGTAACTTAACCATATGACAGTCAAAAAGAGCAGTATTGGCTAGTGTGTTCAGATGACATATTCAGAAGAGCTGGGAGTTTTGAAGGGGTTAGGAGATAAAGTGGTTTGAAAGTGGCATTGGGGATTAGGGTAGGTAGGGAAAACACCTACCCATTGACTCCAAGCCTTGAGGTGTAGCCTGAAAGGAGGGGCACTGTAAAGAGAGAGCATTATCAGTCCACTGCAGGCATGCAAAGCTTTTAAAAGCATGGCAATAGCAGGATGGTTTGGGCAGGGTGGGTAGGGAGTAGAGACCAAAGACAGAGCCACCAGTAATGATATTGTGGAACCAGTCCCCAGAGAGGTGACAGGATCAGATGAGGACAGTAGGTATAGAGAGGAGGAGTGTGTGAAAAATCTATCCAGAGTAGAATTGGAAAGGGTTGTTTCAGAGCGAACTTCTCACTACCTTCATGGTCCTGTCCCTGGGGGAATATTTACTTGTATTATTTCTTTGATAATTTCCTCCCCACAGCATTCTCTGTTCCTTTTTTCTGCAGTTTGTTTAGGCAGTTGTTAGTGTTCCTGAATCAATTCTCTAATCTTTTTTTAAGGTTTTTTTTTCCCTTGAATCTCTGTCCTGCCCCACCCCCCACCCCCTCCAGGAAAGGGACCAAGATTTCTTTGATGTCATCTTCTAACTCTTGGGTAAGGTTTTTATGGCTACCTCATTTTAAATTCCAAGCATGCTCTCTTTCTTCTGTTTATTCTTTTTCATAGCATCCTATACTTATTTTATGGATGTAATATCTTTTCTCATCTCTAAGGACATTAATTGCATTTTTCCCCTTCTTAATTGGCTGTGTTTCCTCCGGGTGCCTTTTTTCCCTTCATTTTCTCTTTTTCGATCCTCAGATCCCTGTCTGACATTTATGTTCATACTATGAATCTGTTCAGACTTAAGAATAGGGCATTAAAAAGGCTGTGTAGAAGCTGTGTGGGCACAGGCAGGGCTTGTTGATGGTGGATTTTATTTGCTGTTGAGGAAACCTCCAAATACTTGGAAGTCTTCTCCTTAGTGTATTCAGTTTCTAAGAGAAGAATCTTCTAATCTTCCTGGGGGATATAAGCCAGCTGCCAGTTTTCCTGAGTAGAGTTTGGGAAGGTGGCTCTGCATTTCCCTGTTCATTATGTGAACTACCACTTCAGGGTGTTTCAGCCCAGCTAGGGCATGAGCTCTCCTTGGTACCTGGGGTCTCCATGTGCAATTTCTGTAGCCACCCCCCCCCACAGTATCTATTTCAGCTTTTGGAAACCTTTAAACAGTAAAAGAGAAAAGGAAAAAAGGTACCTGGAGGGAACAGCCAATTTGAAAAGAAGAAAAAAAATGCAACTATCATTAGTATTCTTAGAAATGATTTAAAAAATGCCACATCCATACTGTCCTAACTGGGTTATTTTGCCTCCATCCACTTTCTGCCTTCTAACAATGCACTGAAATCTGTAGTTAGCTACTGTATTCCCTTCTGTTCTCCTTGTGCTTGTGGATTTGTACCTTTTTCTTTTTGCTTAAAGAAATTCCTTTGCCATCATTTTAGCAGAGGTTGGGGAGGGAACAGAGGTAATTGCGTTTGATTAATCTGCTGTTTAATTGGAAATCCTAAGTTTAGATGTGAGCATGTTGGCGTAAGGGTTCTTGTGGAGACACCGGTTTGTTGCCCAGGTGAGAAATTTAGTTTGGCGATAGGTATTTAGACCTCCTCAGTTTAACATAATTATCAAAGCCATAACATTTCCCCAGGAAAGTTTGAAGCATGGCATTCATTCATTCAACATATACTTACTAAGTGCCTATCATGTGCTGGCAGGGAGAAGATGGGCTAGGCTGGAATGTA